CAGCATCCCAAACCACAGTAATACATTTATTACAATCAGTGAACCCACACTGGCACAGTCTTATCATCCAAAGTCCATGGTTACATTAGAGTTTGCTCTTGGTCTTGTACATGCTATGGGTTTGGACAAATGTTTAATGACATGTATCCACCACTGTAGTATCACACAGAGTAGTTTCGCTGCCCTAAAAATCCTTTGTGCTCCACCTATTCATCCCTCTCTCCCCCCAACCCCTGGCAACCACTAATCTCTTTACTGTCCCTGTAGTTTTACCTTTTCCAGAAGTCATATATTTGGAACTCTACAGTATGTAGCCTTTTCAAGTTGGCTTCTTTCACTTAGGAATATGCATTAAGTTTCCTCCATGCTTTTCATGGCTTGATAGCTCATTTCTTTTTAGTGCTGAATAATATTTTAAGGAACTGATATTTTTATTCCATTTCATGGATGAAGAAACAGGCACAGAATGGATTAGTAACTTGTCCAGGTACAGCTTCTACAGTTCTGTCTGACAACAGCGCCTAATCTCTTATGAATTTCACCATGTCCCTGAATCCCAGAGAAATTTGTTTTCTCACGATGAAGTTTGTCATATGACAGAGTTGGGGTAAATGAAAAATCAGGGCAATGGAGCCAGCCCCCCTGCTTGCAGAAAACAGACACAGCTTCCTGCATATCAACAAAAATTTAAAATCTAGAGGGTAAGACTTTGTTTCAAAAGTTTCAGCCCTGGTCATGTAGCTCAGTTGGTTAGAGCATCGTCCATATACGCCAAGGTTGTGGGTTGGATCCCCAGTCAGGGCACATACAAGAATCAACTGATAAATGCATAGATAAGTGGGACAACAAATTGATCTCTCTCTCTCAATAAATAAAAGAGCCCTGGTCGGTTTGGCTCAGTGGTTAGAGCATCGGCCCTTGGACTGAAGGGTCCCAGGTTGGATTCCAGCCAAGGGCAGGTACCTCGGTTGCAGGCTCGATCCCCGGCCCCGGCTGGTTGGGCGCTTGTGGGAGGCAACCAATTGATGTGTCTCTCTCACATTGATGTTTTTTTCTCTCTCCTCCTTCCACTCTCTCTAAAAAAATCAAAATTAAAAAAAAAAAAAAAATCAATGGAAAAAGTATCCTCGGATGAAGATTAAAAAAAAAAATCTGAAGGTTTAAAAAAATTTTTAAAGCCCAGCCGGGCGTGGCTCAGCGGTTGAGCATCGACCTAGGATCCAGGAGATTGGGGTTCTATTCCCGGTCAGGGCACAGGCCCGGGTTGGGGGCTCAATCAGTGACTCTCTCATCATTGATGTTTCTCTCTCTCTCTCTCCCTCTCCTTTCCTCTCTCTGAGATCAATAAAGATATATTTAAAAAGAAAAATTTTTTTTAAGTTTCAAATATCTAGTTTAGATGGAAAAATGCTGTGTGCTTTTGAAATTCTGGTTGAACACACTCTCTGCTTTACTGGTTTGAGAAAATGTTTCTCTTTCCTGACGCTTAATTTTATCACCTTTCAGATTCTGTCTGGGTGCTGTCACCCAGCCATTCCTCTGCCAATGAAGTACATCCTGGTCACAGGTGGGGTCATCTCCAGCATTGGGAAAGGGATCATCGCCAGCAGCATTGGGACGATTCTAAAGTCATGTGGGCTCCGAGTTACCGCCATCAAAATCGACCCCTATATCAACATCGATGCGGGCACGTTTTCACCTTATGAGCACGGTATGACAGAGCCACTTGCTCCCTTATAAAGCCCTGGGTTCAGCTGCAGTTCTTTCATGTATATTGGTTAATTTCTTTAGGATACAGTTCCAGAAGTAGAGTTGCTGGATCATACGTTATGAATATGTAAATGTTCTCATGGTCGTTGATGCACTGTTCAAATTGCTGGTGACATTCCACATCAGTCCACCCTTTTGGAAATCTGTGAGGACACCATTTTCATTGTAGCTTTTGCAGTATGGATTATGTTTTGTTTTACTTTATCATAAAGGTAATAGATTTCTCTTAACATTTCATTAGGAGAAAAATTCAGACAATATAGTATATATTAACAATATAGAATGGCATGAAGAAAATTCCTCACTTCTTGGAGTGACTGTTATTAATGTGGATATTTCAATGTATAGAGTAGTTATTTTTTTAACAAAGCATTAGCCTTTAAATACTTTCTTTTTAAAAATTTTACATACATACAGGAAAATGCATAAATCATAATGAACCACTTGATGAAATGAATGTACTGTGTAACCAGCCCTTACATCAATAAACAGAATCTCCCTTTGCCCCCAGAGTACCAGGGTAAACACTATCCTGTCTTCTAACACCACAGATTAGTTTTTCTTGTTTTTGAACTTTAAATGAATTAAATCTTACAGTCACATTATTTTTAATCTAATTTTTAAAACAATATACTGTGGACATTTTAATATATTCTATATTCTTAAAAGCTGCACAGAATCTGAATAATACGAAATAATTGCCAATGTATTAATATTATAAACAACACTGTGATGGAAATCTTTGAAATATATATTTTTAAACAGAAATGCCTAGGTGCAGAATTTCCTATTTGATGGGTAGGTACATTTTTCGGCTTTTAACACATAATGCATATTGCCAAAGGTTTTTAGGTTCATGATCCCTTATTTACAACTGTGAAATCCAAAAAGTTCTGAAATTTTAAAATTCTTCATAAGTTTGTGGCTGTTTATAGTCTTTTCCCAAAAGTTTTGAAAATTGAAAAATCTTCATAAAACTTTGGCTATTTCTATTCTCTATTCCACTTGGAATGTGTTTGATTATGGCTTGCTTTTGAGGTGTTTTATAATATATAGAAACTGTCCTATATTACCTTTCTATAATCAGAAATATTCCAAATTCCAACTTTTCATCTTTTTTCAGAATTTTCTGATAAGGCTTATGGATCTCCACCAATTTACATCCTTATCAACAGTGTATAAGACGAAGACCCAATTCTTTACACCTTTACTGAATATTATTATTCTTTTTAAACTTTACTAACCTGAGAGTAAACCAAAAACCAAAAAAGGATATCTCGTTTTATTTTAGAATTTTTAAATTTTCATTTTGCCTGTGGCATGACATTCAGGTCTATGGTAGATTGTATTTTTGTTTGAAACTATCAACCAGCTTCCTTCTATGGCTTCAATTTCCCTGCCTCATTGACTTTGGCCTTTGGCCTTGTAGGGTGGTTAAAACGTCCTGGTTTGTTAGGAACTTTCCAGGTTTTGAAAGTGAAAGTCCCTCATCCTGGGAGTCCTTTTAGCCCTGAGTAAACCAGAGAGGTTGGGCACCTTCTTTGGCCATGTAATTTGTTTTTGTCCTATGGATTACTAGTCAATATGACATATGCCTTGTTGAAGCAGAAATTTTCAGTGCAATGGCATGATTTGTTCAGCTTCTGCCCTGTGCCATGCGAACTGCTTGTCCCTATAGGGATTTCTCCTTCAGCTTGGGGTCCTGAGAATGCACAGAGCAGACACACAACTGACTCACAGCCCCACCTAACCTGAGGGAGAACTCAATAAATGTTTTGTAAGTCACTGAGATTTTAGGGTTTTTTGGTGTGCAGCAAAATTGACTAATGCCATGTGTTATACCAATTTTCCTTTGGATTTTTTAATGATTTTCAATAATACTTGATGTAAAGCTTATTAACCTATTTTTATCACACGTATATATTTTCTACTCTGTTTGAAATTTGTCTTAATATTACCTCTGTTAGTTGCTGATCAATTTCAATTTACCATTTATGTGATTAAATGGTTTCTGCCTGATGCCACCTTTAGGCTTTTCTGCCCCAGGAATGGTTAAATAGTCATCTGTGTTTTCTTCTGGTGCTTTTATAGTTTCATCTGCTTTTACATTAACATTATTAACATATGTGGAATTTAATTTGGTGTGAGGTGAGGGTGCAACATATTTTTTTTCTATTTTTTTTTTTTTCTGATGAGCCAAATATTCCTCATGGCATTTATCAAAGATTTTGTCAGTTCTCCACTGACTGAAATACCACCTTTTGTTATGTACTAAATTTCTGTCTATACTTGGTTCTGTCTTTGTACTCTGTTCTGTTCCAGATCTCTTTGTTTATTTCTGTCTGTTGTTTTAATAGATGCAGCTTTTTATTATCAAGCTCATTATTCCTTTTCTTCTTTTTTTTAAATTCAAAATGTTAATGTCTTCAGGATTAATTAGGAATTATTTTGTCAAACTTTACAAGAAATCAAATTGGTGTTTTCGACAGAAATTGCTTTAAATTTATGAATTAATTTGGGAGAGAACTAAACTCTGAAAATATTGACTGGTCCCTTCAGGAACTTTATAAGTGGCTTTCATTTTATTCATACCTCTTTTATGTCTCTAAAATAAGGTTTTAAAGTTTTCTTCATGTGGTTCTTACACATTTCTTTGAAGTTTACTCCTGAGTATTTTATCTATTTTGGTTTGTGATGATATCTTTGTTTTGTTTTTTTAAAGTCACATATTAAATTCCTTTATGCATTAGACATCTGTTTTGGATATTTTGTTTTTGTGTATTTGTTGATGTTACCTTATTCCGTATTTATATATATTGAATATCTATATGTATATGTATTTCAGTCTTCCTTTCCTCACTGTTATTATAAGGGCTTTTAGTTTTACTTATTTTTTGTTTTGGTAATCACACCTGCTTTTCTTCCAAATTAATTTTAGTGTCACAATCAAGTTAAAAAAACTGTTGGAATTTTAATTATAATTGCATTAAGTCTAAAAAACCTGTTTTGAAGACTTGTCATCTATAGTTTTTCTTTCTCTTCTAGGAACATAGTGTGTACATACTTTTAACATTTAGGAATTTATAATTTGAATATCTTTTACATATACTTGGAGTATTGGCAAACTAGATTTGGCCAGAATTACCTAAAGGGATTTCATAGATCTCTTATTTGTCAGAAGTGAAGATGATAAAAGTAAAAAGACTTTTCTGTAGACTGGCACTTCCTGATTAACACGAGAAAGTGGAATTTGAACTGGAAATGGAACTTGGGAAATAGGAATATACTGCAATTTCATCAATTTGCTCTTTTGTCCTTAAAGTTAATGATCTTCCCGACCACACTTAGGTACTTGATAAGGGAGGCAAATGAGGATATAAAAGGTCTCTGATTAGGTTTGTAAGCTAGCCAACCTTCTTTTTTGCTGTTAACATCCTGCAATAGGTGTAAATGATAGAGTTTTCTTAATAGGGGAAAGTTCAATTCTTACAAGACGGCTTTAGGACATTGGACTCCCAATAGATGCCACTAAGTGACACTGGAGACCCAGAGACATGCCAAATAATCAATGCAGGTGTTTTATGTGATTAAGTCTGCATCTATATCCCTTTTCTTGGTGCTGCTGTGCAGGTGGCTTACTGCACATGCTGGCTTTTCTGCCTCACTTTCACCAAGTTGCCCTGCGGGCTCGTTGGGGCCCTGCTTTTCATCTGCTGTCTCTTTAATTGTGGCTTTAACCAAGATGGGAATCAATTAAAACTCTCTTATGCCAATTCCAGAGTCCAGGATACTGATGCTTTGAAGTAAATTGCTATTAGTTTTTAAAAATTACTATTTTAAAGTCTCTTTTTCATATGATGAGTTTGGAAAGGTAACTCTTGAAGACAGAATTTCAGTAAGCATTTAAAAAATACCATAATAGGATACTGGAATTTTTCTGATGCATTTTAAAGGATATAATTGAATTATTAAGTTTTCCCATCAAAATAATGAAATAGTGCCCTAGCTCAGTTGGTTGGAGTGTCGTCCTGTATACCAAAAAAAAAAAAAAAAGGTTGTGGGTTTGATCCCCAGGTGGGGTGCAAAAGGGAGGCAACTGATCCATGTTTCTCTCTCACATCGATGTTTTGCTCTCTATCTCTCTCTCCCCTTCCTCTCTCTCTAAAACTCAACAAACATATCCTCAAGTGAGGATAAAAAAATGAAATGATGATAGAATATGGTTTATAAATAAGTCTCTTAGCAGTTTTTTAATAAAATGTGTCCATCTTTGAGAAATACCCACTGGAAGCAAATTCGAAAATTTTACATTGCCTTTTTATTCTAGGAGAAGTGTTTGTCTTAAACGATGGTGGAGAAGTTGATTTAGATCTTGGAAATTATGAAAGGTTCTTGGATATTAATCTTTATAAAGACAACAACATCACCACTGGGAAGATATATCAGCATGTGATTAATAAAGAGAGGCGTGGTGACTACCTGGGAAAAACAGTACAAGGTATTATATTCCACAAACATTCGAGCACCCACATCCTGCTCAAAATAGACGAGACAATGAGGAGGTTTCTGCGCTCTACAAGTTCTAATGCTTTTCAAATCCCTGTGTTCTTTTCCTTTTCCTTTTCCTTAAAGGTGTCAAGTTCATCCTCGGTGTTCCTGATTTATTTTCATCAGTCTTTATTTCTTTTTTACCAGTGCCATTGTTTCCCTTAGTCTCTCTCTCTCTCTCTCTCAGATCTGTGGAGAACCATTTATTCATTTTTTACATGATTGCAGTATTTTTTTGTTTGTTTTTTGTCTGTCTTTTATTTAATGTGTTCTTTTTCCCTCCTTTTTTTCTTGTATCTCTGCATGCACGGTGATCACTTCCCTTTGAAGGCAGACAGCATTGGGGAGGGACTGGGGGATTGAACTGGAGTGGCAGGTAGCATGGTCTAACGTTTTTTCACCAACCCTTTCCCTGGATAGTATGGTTTTATTTTGTCTTAGAAGAGATCTCTCCCTGGCACCTCTGAAGTCTTGTACTTCTACATTTCTACATGGTAAAGGTGATAATTCCCCATCCCCTTTAAATTACTTTCATGTTGGAACCAGCTGAGAAGCAGATGTAGGAACAGGACAGATGGAGATCAAAAGATCAGCTATGTTATTGCCAAAACTGGATGGTGTGGCATAGATGTCCAGTCCAACTGTGCTTTCTAATAGTCCCCCCCC